TCAAGTCACTTGCAGCCACCCCTCTTTGCCTTGCATCTTCACCCCAGGCACTGACTGACATTGTCTTCTAATCTTAACTTGAGTCAGCGAAGCCTCTTTTTCTACTTAGGACACCAGATCCGTTCCGGCTTTCATTTCCCCTTCTCAATGTCCCCTTCCGACTCTCTGCCTCCGGCTGACCACACTCCTTCACTCTCAAGAACAGACTGCTTATCTCTTTTCTGTGTTGGAGGCAGCCAGAGGCTTTTAGATAATGAAAATCTTTCCTCTGCAGTTTTGGGCTACAAAGAATTTGCTAGATTTGCTGGTACAGAGCTAGCACTTGTGCTCCGCAGTTCTCAGAAGGTCAAGGGTCAACCATGACCACGGTCACGAGAAAACATGAAAATAATGCTAATATATCATGAGGAGTAGCCTGTAGCTGGCAGGGTGAGGAGAGACAGTGAAGATGTCCCTAAATGGGGTAGCAGCTGAATCGTGAAAGATAGTTGGGAATTTAATAGTCAGGACTGGGAGTTGGGGTTCAGGGGGTCCAGGCAGGGGAGTGTTACCCCTGTGTGGGAAGGAAGGAAGCATGAAAGAGCATTCAGAGATAGATCAGGTTGACTTAGCTGGTTTGGCTGGCAGGGCAGGTGCCTCTGTCCTCCACCCTTCCAGTTCCACATTCCAGGTGTATCTTTCCTTGGGCCGTTCTCTCCCTAACAGTCAGGGATCAATCATACTCTGTCAAAACTTGCAAGACAAGCTAACTTCAGCCATTCAGGATGAGATCTTAGGTATGGTGGGGACATAAAATGTGTGCACAGTGGCACTCAGGAGTGGAGAAGGGGGGCTGGTGGGAACGAGCGCCGTCATCATCACCATCATCACTCTTAGAGACAGGGTCTCATGTATCCCAGGTTGGCTTTGGACTCACTATGCTACTTGAACTAGGATCCTCTTGTCTCTGCCTCCCAAGTACTTGGGTTATGGGCCTGAGCTATTTTCACCCAGTTTATGTGGTAGATTCCACTGGGGGCCTCCGTCATGCTGGAGAGGCACTTTACCAACCGGATTTTATCTCCAGCCTGGAAATGGCTTATTTGGTGCCCAGATGCTCAGGTCTTCTGGTCCAGGTGTGAAATGGAAGGGTCATGGACAGAGGTAGCAGAGACCCCAGGGGACTGGCATGGGATTGTGAGAGAGCTTCAGTAGCCATTTTTGCAGTGGAGTCAAGAGACACAGTCAAGTGCTTTTCTTCGTGGAGGGTCCCATCAGTCCAGTAAAGAATACAAGAGAGGAGCAGGTCTGGGGAAGACATTTAAATCTACTGCTTCTCAGAGGCAGAAGGGCCTGGGGTCAGCTGAACCTGTGGTTTCAAGTGCAGGTAGAAGGGTAAAGGGGTAACTGACCAGGGGTTCTGGGATGAAGCTTTCCGAAGGAGACAGCGTTCATTCCACCAAATACTTTACAAGGCACCATGGGCCATAAAAAGAAAAAGCATGGGTGGTCTTCAACCTTTGGGAGCCTCCTTTGTTTCAAATGCAACCACAGATTCAGGCTCAACATGTATGAAAAATGTTTCTGAGGATGGATGGCGAAGTCACGTGTCCTTTCTGCCTGTTAGTGCTATGTTTCCTGGGGGGTCTCTGATGTTTGACACACAAATGAGACCATCTTCCTTCTCTTTATTTTTCTTGAGATTATTGGCAAGGGTCACACAGCATCCTAGGATTTTCTAAACACAGTAACCTGTGATTTACCTGTTCTTTTGTTTTGTTTTAATCCTGCCTTGTGCTTTAATATGGCATGCTTGGTTAGAATAGTCCAAGAAAAGGGGACAGGGTTTGAAAGAAAAGAAAGAAAAAGAAAGATGGAAATTACCAATCTTAGGAATTAAAAGCTGATGAGAATGGAGGAAAATTTATAGTTTTTTTTTTTCAAGTGAAAAAAGCCTCTTCAAATGCCATTTTCCTCTCTGTTTGCTGTGTGTGGTTCACAGCCATGATTGTAGGGTCTCAACTGACTGCTAAAACTTGTGTATTTTTAGGCTAGTATTTAAGGAAATATCTTAAATATTTCAACAGATGTTTAAAATATTCAAGAGATATTTAAGATATTTGAGTATTTAAGAAACACGAATCTGCATGAAGAACCATTAGACTTCAATACCTTGGGTATTAAAACTTGGAACAAAAGATGTAATTATAAAGTTTGACTTCAATATGCATGTCAGAAGTGCCAACCGGCATTTTATACCATGAAGAATTACAAAATGCTAATTAAAAGTCAATGATAATATCTCTGTTCCCTGTAAGCTTGCATGGAATCCCTTAAAAAGTTCCTCTCTGGAGTAGGCAATTTCTTATGGGAAAAAATTCCACACACTAGAGGATTCATATATGGAAAGTGACTTGGGTCTCCTTATTTAGATGTTTAAAGTTCAGATCGTCTCGCGTCCTATTTTAGTTAGTGAAACCCAGGTAATTCACTTTGTTTTGTCCCCTCAGAAACAGGGGTGTTTGTCCTTATTTGTGTGGCTTCAGAGGGGCTTTCCAAGTTAACCCTGGGTTTTACATCTCTTTTCATTTTATGTTCAGGCAGCTTCCCTTCATCCATTGCTTTGCTTTGGTGTGTGGAGAAGGCCCTTGGTAAGGAAGAGCTGGGAGAGGGGAGTAGACTTGAATGAGGAAGAGCTTGCCCGGGATTTACAGTATTCCCAGCTCCCAGGGAAGCCTGTGAGACCTGAGGTTGTCACCCTTCAATAAATCGGGTCCCATTTGCCCATAGTGTCCCTGTCACTGAACGTACGCCCTAAATCTTCTTAAAGGAGCAGCTGGAAGTCAGACCAGTTTTACAGTCTTGTGGGCAGGGCTGCTAATGAATAAAACCAGTACTTTAGCAACATAGCGCGGCTTCTGATGAAAGAAGTCGTGGGTCTGAAGCCTACTGAGGACAGCCCTATTAAGATTCACTCAGAAGCTAAAAATTCATTTCCTGGACTTAACCAGGTGGCAGTGGGAAGGCTTCCCTTCCTCATCAGCCTGGAGGGTGGGGGCTTGGCCCTGTGGAGACCTCAGGGCTGTGTGGGCTGATCAACATGGATATAATTAATATGTGCCAGCTCGAACGGCAGAGGCGGTTTGATTCGATTCTGCACTACTGGGAAATATTTTCTTTCTGTGTCCATCACACACTTTCCTTTTTTTGGAATCTGGTCTTCTCTGGGCACCGCCCTCTCCGGGTTTAGGATCTCTGCTTCCTGTCATAACAGACACCATCAAGTAGGAAAGCTAGCCCCGTTCAAGCTACATTTTCTTCCTATTCCCATCACCATTTTAAAGACGCATTTTTCACCCCATGGTAAGGAACATGGTAAATAATTGAGGCGATCCATCAAGGGACATGTTCCTGATAATGAAAAATTGCATAACTCAGGGCAAGTCAATTAAAAACCACAAACTTCAGATCCTTTTTCTCAGCGAAGACTGATTTATTAGTACAGGAGGCATCTAATACAACAGGGTGTGGGGGGTGAATCAAAAATTTTTCTTTAAGTTCTAAAAATGCAGTTCAAGTTCGACACTAAACTGGAGTAGGAATCACACAATACGAGAGTCTGTCAGATCTTTGAAATGAAAAGGCGTATTTTTTTTTTTAAAAAAATCACCAGATGTGAGATGCCAGGTTTCCTAACAACTTCAGGAACAACATCCTCGGCCGGGGACACTTATATACTTATATTCCTTCCAGGGTTTGAAATGAACCTTATTCTTTGGTTTTGCTTATACAATAAAATTCTACAAATTACCAAAAAAAAAAAAAAAAAAAAAGGTCAGGATATTTTCTTTTGCTAAGCTAAATATTTGCCCAAGTAAAACTATCTGGATGAGAGACTCAAATGATTTTATTATCTGGTTGCCTGGTTAGGATACAGGCAATATGTTCACAGATTGTGGTATCTTGTACAACTGTATACTTTTTTTTTCTGTCATTTAAGGAGCAGTAGTTCTATTTAGAAATGTCAAATACTGCTTCAGTGGGCCAAGGGAAAAATACGAACTCTCAGGAACAGCATCTCCAAAAACACATTTCAGTGTATTCTTTTTGTATGCTCAAATATAAATCTAAACACCAGTATCTCTCTTCTAATACTGGAAACATCTAGACTTTTTTTTTTCTTAAAGATTCAGAGCCCAGTAAAGTGAGCTTTGACTTGTCTAACAGCTTAAGTAAGGTTCAGCAGTCAGGCATGAAAAACTCAGTTCCAGGGAAGGACGTGTGACACAATCCCTCTGAACTCCAACTGCCAAAGAAAAGGAGGAATTGTGCCCTTTTTACTAACAAAGAATGCAGTCCTTAGAATTCTCCAGCCTCGGAATTCCACCAGTGTTCCAGGGTTCTCCTCCTGATGTGTGAGAACAATGAGTAATAAAAAAATTAGCAAAAATCTCATCCAAGGCCGTCCTTTGACTTTATAAGGTTCAACACCAGATATATCAAATTCTGGAAACACCAGAGAACAGGGAAGCTGAAGGGCAAGCAAGCACTGGTGGTGGGTGGGTGGGTGAGGGAGAGGACACAGGTTTGAAAGAAACCCTCAGTTAATTTTTAACCTGCTCATATTCATTTTGTCCATGTCTGTTGAGGTATTACCACTTCAACTGACAGCTAGGGACTGTGACATTTCATATTCCCATAAATATTTGACTTTGACTTCATAAAAAGTCCCTTGGGTCTATAATACTTTTATTCTTGTATAATCTGAAACAAATCCTTTCCTTTTAGAAATCAAACAGACCACGTTTACACACAGTTCACTATTTACAAAGCACCCAATTAAATCCTACTTAATTCTCCCGCTCTAAAAATCCCATCTAACTGGTATGTAAAATACCCATTACATTAAATGTGTGATGTTCACCAACCCTGGAGTTAACAGCTCACCTAGAAAATAAGACTTTCCTGGAAGGAAAGGGTCCTAAATCAGTTCTATGGTGCTAAAGAAATCACACCAGAAGTCACAGTACAAGACAGATAAATCTACTTTTAATTTTCACATGTAAAAGTTACACATCACATGAAATTGGACAGGAGCTTAGTGGTAACTGACATCGCTATAGTGAAAATCATTTTTATAAAAAAATAATCTAGATGTGGTCATCAGAATTTTTGGTCTACGTAAGTTAATGTTTGAAGATCGACTTTTATCCCTGCTTGAAGGATTTTCCACTATGCTCTTATTTTTCCTCTTCTACTGATGCCTAGTAATATTCTTTGGAGAAAGGAGGGCAGAAAATGTCCGTTTCCAAGAGTTTGTCCTTTGGTAGCAAGCAGAGAACATTTTTCATTTCTATGACTTAAATGATCTGTACAGATACGAAACTTCATGACATTATGCTTTAGTGTAAAATGAAGACCGACAAGCATTTTCACTTTGATAAGAGCAGATTCTGTGGACTCCTTAAATAGCCAAGCATTTCTCCATCCTATATGCAAAATCACCTGGAATCTAATTTTTTAATCTCAGTTCAAAAAGAAAAGAAAAAACTCACACACTTAATTCTTTATGTATTACACTATAAAACCCTGTACTTAAAAATCGATAAGGTATGTTTTCAACATGTACACTTCAGATACAAAGGTTTCTGTCTAGGTTAAAGAAAACACATCTGATTGGACTCAGAACAAGTTTATTTTGTGATTAAACATCTCATGCAATCATGCAAGACCTGTACCTAGGGCTGTAACTGCCGAGCCTCAGATACTGGATACTGAGCAAAACAAAAACAAATCAACAGCCTGGTCAAACAAAACACTTTGAGATATTAAGAGCTCTGCAAGGGAGCTGGAAAAGAATTTTCTAAAAGAAATATTCCCATAGATTAAAAAAACGCACACATAATATTTACAAAAAATATTTAATTAAAAATATCTTATAATTACAGTAGTCTATTAAAGCGCATATACTTTCTCACACTTTATAGAACATCTCTATATATACAGGGTATGAAATGTCACTCACTTATCTATACAATATGTAACATTCTTGCAGAGAAGTTCCCTGCCCTGTTATAATCATCTATTTTAAACAATAGATGTAAAATAACGTATCTACAATGCTCTGGTATATTAGTAAAGCTTCAAAAACAAAAACAAGTTCCCTCGTCACAATGTAGCCTCTAAAGTTGGATTCACTATTGGTCTTCTACTTAGCAGTCCTGTCACACTTAAACTTCCAAGTTTAACTGCACCTCCCAAAGGGTGACAAAAATAACCACAGAAATGTACAATTCACAGCGGTTATAAAAGAAACAAAAGAGAATACGTACGGAGAAAGCTTGTGAACGTGCAAAAAATTAAAAGTGAATGAAAGTTTTATTATTATTATTTTTCCTCTCTCTCTCTCTCTCTTGGAATGACGAGATGAGACGTTTCTAGATTTGCTGAAGACTTTTTTCTTTTTCCTCCGGTGGCTTTTTTCTCTTGATTTCTGCTCTGGCCCTCCCTTTCTAGGGCTCCTGACTCGCTGGTGCTCAGGCTGCCGCACACCTGTGGAAGAGGAATGAATAGAGGGGGTGTGTGAACCATCTCGCTGCAGACTAACTGGCGCCACCGACCAAACTCAAGACATGCATGATCAACAACCCAAAACAAACTGCCGGGTCAGACAACACCCGCAGCCCGCAGCACAGCCAAGCGCCAAGGAGGCAAATGTGGGCTGGGGACGGCGAGGGGAAGCATTCCGGGACACTTTGTCCGCATGCACCTCTTGTCTTAGGTCGCTCTACTGGGGATGAGGGGTGAGGAGGAGGGCTAGGAGAACTTGGGACACTGGGGCAGTTTCCACGCCCAGGAGGGTGCCCTCCCTTAGAGGTAGAGGGGACCAGCAGAGCGAGAGGAAAGCGGGCGCAGCTGCAGAGCGACCCCCACCCCCGTGATGGAAAACGAAGTGCGGACTGTGTCACTAACTGCGTGGCAGAGAAGGTGTGGGTGTGCACGGGGACTTACTCTACGAAATGCTGAGAGAGAAAGATCACCACGGTGCCTGGCACCAGCAGCCCCTGGGGAGGTGAGACCCCGGTGATCCACCACCCAATTCGGGACCTGAGCGCTCACCTGGCCAGCGCGGCTCAGCGGCACAGAATGCTGTCGCCCTGCTTGTTCACGGCGCCGGCCTGGAACAGCAACCCAACACCAAAGGAAAGGTTAGGGTGTGCAGACGCTGTCGCCACCGCCCGGGAGCCGTCCTGGGAAACTAGGCAGGAGCGCGGAGTCCCCACCCCAGTCAGAAGCTGGGGAAGTCCCCTGAAACTGCAAGGGACAGTCCTGGAGACGCGCAGCTCCGAGTCCCAACCGGCTCCTGCACGGGCACTTGCGATCACCCAGTCCAGCAGGCGGCTCCCGGCGGAGATCCGGGAAGCCGCTGCCATTCCCTGGGAGGAGGAGGACCACCCGTATCTTGCTGCCCCACCACCGCCCTCGTGATGCCCGGGGGACGCCCACGGAGGCTTCTCACCGGGTCCGTGTTGAGCGCAGTGAGCGGGGTCCGCGGCGGCGCAGCCGGACAAGCCCCGGCCGGGTGGAGCTGTGGCGCGGGCGGTGGCGGCTGTCTCAGCAGAGCAGGGTGCGTCTCCAGCGCCAGCTGCAGGTCCAGGATGTAGTCGATAACATGCTGCAGGATCTCCACTTTGCTGACTTTCAA